ACACACACACACACACACACACACACACACACACACACACACACACACATATATATGTATACTTATATTTGTGAAATTTCGTCACTTTGGTCACCAAAAACTTCCGAACCACTTAACTTTCGAATTCGAAAAAATTCCTGGTGGTCCAGATTCATGTAAAGGGAGCACTGTTATATTTAGGAGTCTCAAGTCATTATAGTTTAATTTTTCCGTTTTTCATTACTTTCGTTTCAATTAGATATAATCTTGGGAGAGTACGTCTTCTAAAAGGCCATTGTAAACAAGTGAGGCTTCCGTTCACAAGCAGTGCGCACTGTTTCCACAATGACTTGATGATCGATTATTTTGAGTCCTTTCATCGAACAGGTACTCAGCTAGTATGTTATACATACGGTGTCTTAAATTCTGAATCTATTCTCGACTTGCCTATTTCTTCCCCAGTCGCCATGGTGATGTCATCAATAGGGCCGGTGGTCGCCATCATTCTGATATGCTTCTCTGACGTCACAGCGACCGAGGAGTCCACGCCCCCTTGTAACGTCACACAGGATCCTGCCGATGGAGGCACTCACGTGGATTGCTCGGGTAGAGGACTTTCCAGACTGGATGCTGATTGGTTCCCTGAATCAACAACTTCCCTCCGCCTAGACCACAATCCTTTAGGCGAGCTGCAGAACGGAACCTTTTCGCGTCTGACGCAGTTGCAGTCTCTTTCTGCGATCGACTGCCAGCTTCGTCGTTTACAGGCAGGTTGAAGTAAACGAATGATGAAATACATAGCTGTAGATCCAGGACGGGATTAGTCGTCCATCCATCCATCCATCCATCCATCCATCCATCCATCCATCCATCCATTCTTCCATCCATCCATCCATCCATCCATCCATTCATCCATCAGTCCATCCATCCATCCATCCATACATACATACATCCTTACATACATCCATCCATCCATCCATACATACATACATACATTCTTCCATCCATCCATCCATCCATTCATCCATCAGTCCATCCATCCAAAAATGTAAAGTAAATTTGAAATAAGAACCTTCTCTACTACAACGAGATAAAATGTCTTCCTCTCGTACAAGAGAACAAGTTTACCAAAGTAATAATGGTTCTCAAGCTATACGAATGCCCATAGAGCACATCTTAGAATCAGTTCGTTACCTTGGTCATCTAAATTCCGTTCACAAAAGCAGAAAACGTTTATTATAAGTGACAACAAAGGGTGTTTGGCTCAAAGAGAAAACAAAACAGCAACGAATATAAATTCCGTAAAATCAAATCTACAGTTGTATTTGTCCCCCGCCCCTCTCCCCTCCTGGTCCCACCTCCACCTCCCCCTCCCCCTCCCCATCCACCATAACACCCTCCATCCCCCCTCTCCTCTGTTACAGCATGATTCACTTCGTGGCCTCGGGGAACTAAGGGTTCTAAATCTACAGTCAAACCAACTGTCTGTGACTGCGCATGCGTTCCCCCGAGGCACGTTCCGACATACGCCTCAACTGCAAACATTGTATATTGACGACAACAGCCAACAAGAAAAGGGCTGCTCCTACGAGAACTGCACAGATGTTTTGACAACACTGCCTCGCCTACAGCGGTTGGCCATCGATGCATTTCCTGAGTTGTACATTGGTCCACGATTCCCAAAGCTTGAGCACCTGAAGACCTTGCGAGTAAATTGTAACTATGTCACTTCCATTACGAATTCCAGCCTGGAGGGTTTAAGGAAAGCCAATTTCACAGAATTTATTCTTAACTGGGGTAGAAACTATTTTCACTTCGAGTCTGGTGTATTTGGGCCAATATCTTATGTAAAAGTTCTCCGAATCAAAAGCCTCGCCGTTGGAAATCAGAATATATTAAAAAGCCTTTGGCCTTTTAAGCATTAAAAAATGACCTTGTTAGAGTTGTCGGAGATATATTTACACCATCCTGGAGCTACTCCATTCAACATATATAATGATGGCAAATTTGACAAAGAAAACATGACGTTTCTAAATTCCATATACCTGTCTAACTTGATTTTGTTCAGGAACAAAATATTTTCTCTCCAGCCGCATTTGTTCATGAGCGGTGACCGTTGTCTCATGAAATCGCTAAAGACATTGAAGTATATTGGTAATTCAGAAAGTGAAATGAACGAATGGAGGATTGTTATATTTGAAATCCTTAGTTTTAAAGCTTTGGAGGAGTTGTGGTACACATGACCATTACCCAAATTCCGCTCACTGGAGTCGGTTTTAGCCTTCGAAGAGGATACGTGTCCAAACGACTCACACATTAAACAATTGCCCAAGAAGAAAAAGGTTTTGCATTCTGAAGGCACAACGTTTTTTGCCTCGTCGCAAAAAGTTCATAACACTACAAGCCACGCTCTGGGAACTTCCGAAAGATCTGGAAAAGTCGAGAGTAGTTTCACTTCTACCAACGCATCAATGAGGAACCGTAGAGGTGCTATGATCGTGTCGTTTCCGAAAACTCTGAAAGTTTTCGTTATAGCGCTCCTCAGTTCCCAGTTGGAAATTCCAAGTATCACCTTCAAAAACTGCGACAATCTCAGAGAAGTACGTTTAGTAGATATCACCTATGTTTTAATGACGGGCAGTATCAAGGGCTGCGAAAACCTTTGCCTGTTTGATATCTCTAGATCGTTTGTAAGAATTGAAACAAAACAGAACCCTGTTAGACATTTTCCAAACTTATCAGTTCTCAAAATGAACTCACTTCAGAATGCACACGACGTGATGAACAAATTCACTCAGAATCGATGGACAGAAAATCTGAGTTTCCTCCAGGAAGTACAACTGTCCAACAACGTCCTCCGTTCCCTCCCTTCTGACCTGTTCAAGAACAACATTAACTTAAAACGTCTTCGCTTATCCGGGAATCGGTTCAGCTCTGTACCAGTGCAGGTGACGACAACGGCCGCCCTGGAACATCTGGACTTGATGGACAACTCCATTGTATCGTTAGACACAAGGACCATGCGCTCATTGGACGAGCATGTACTAACAGTGCCGACGTTCTCTGTTGTTTTACAAGGAAACACCATCAATTGTGCCTGCTCCGAGATAACATTCTTGGGTGAGAAACTTGTTTTTTTCTTTCGTTAAATCTAGAAAGTAATGCAATCTTCGTACAGTTAACATAACATTCATTTTGAAGCATGATACGGCCATTTGACTCACGATTTTCTACCATTTATGTGTGACGTGACCTGAATGTAGTTGTAATCATGTTCTCGGAATATTTCCAATGTCATCAATAATTGCCTTAAGCAGGTTGCTCTCAGATATCAAATTCTGACGATCCCTTTAAGATGTTTGTTTTGTCTATTAGTATTTGTTCATCTTTGGATTTTAGACAGCCACTTGGAGCAATTCTCTTCTAGTTTGGGGATGTCATTGATTTTGCAATGCTCGCATTTACTATCTATTGTATTTTCTTTGCTCTCTTCATTTGTTCTCATTAGTCCTTTAGCCATAACTGCTTTGGCTCCATGACACATTTCCCTGGTTCATTTCTTTGTCCAGTGTCTTGAGATTTGTGGCGTTAACTTTTACTATGCGCCTTATCTTCACCTGGTCGAGGATTTCTTGGGCCACCCACTTGTTGTGTTCTTTCTTCTGACAGAGTCCTATGTTTTCTTCACTTGCCCCTATCATCTCTATCATGCTTTGTTTTAGATCTTCCCGTTTATCTACCTCTATCCGTGTGGAAGTCTCCAGGGCAGCAAACGTATGTTTCTCTCCTACAGAAAAAGGAAAAAAATCTCTCAGTTTCTGATCTGTCTTCAGAAGTTTTGAGTTGCATCTTGTTTGATATTTACTTTTCTTATGAAGGGGCCGTAGTCTTACTCATAGCTTGTCCATCACAGATATGTGGTGGCTTCAACAGTCCATTCCTGGCACGGACCCTGGCTGGTAGGATTGTACAACGAAGGCGTGACTATGTCAACATGGAATCTATCTGACTGTTCTCTCTGATCTCCCAGGCTCATCCATCCCTATTTCATTTGTTTGTTGTTGTTGTTGTTGTTGTTGTTGCTGTTGTTGCTGTTGTTGTTGTTGTTGTTGTTGTTGTTGTTGTTGTTGTTGTTGTTGTTGTTGTAGTTGTTGTTGTTGTTGTTGTTGTTGTTGTTGTTGTTGTAGTAGTAGTTGTTGTTGTTGTTGTTTTAGAGGGGTTGGGGGGTGTTCTTGCATCAGATGTTTGTCCGGGATAGTTTATTTTCTGTACACCATTCAGCTACTAGACATTCACCACGTTTCCTTCATTAATTAATTCTCCTATTCCAAAAGAACCAGTGAGGTTTCCAATTCTATCTTTTTCTACTTTGACATTGCATTCTCTAGAATAGCTTAGATGACATCTGTTGATTTTCATTGTGTCTCTGTTTTCTCCAGTTGTTCGGAATATTCTTCCATTTCTGAGTTTTCATCATCTGCTGTTGGGGCATAGGCTTGTAGAAAACTGGTGTTGAAAGGTTTCTCGTTCAGACTTAGCGCTAGAAAATTCTGCCTGATACTGGCTAGAGGTATGTCATTGTCTTTAATTTGGTGTAAGCCTCATTCATACTCGCCCCCTGGCGTTGAAAAATACAGCAATATTCTTCTTCTTCTTCTTCTTCTTCTTCTTCTTCTTCTCCTTCTCCTTCTTCTTCTTCTTCTTCTTCTTCTTCTTCTTCTTCTTCTTCTTCTTCTTCTTCGTCTTCTTCTTCTTCTTCTTCTTCTTCTTCTTCTCCTTCTTCTTCTTCTTCTTCTTCTTCTTCTTCTTCGTCTTCTTCTTCTTCTTTTTCTTCTTCTTTTTCTTCAAGATCATCAAGATTATCCTACCTCCCGAAGATGTTCGGAGCCAACCAGGTGACAACCGGAAGAAATCACGTCCTTGGGAAGTAAGTTATTGGGATTGGAGTCGATTCCTACGATTCCTAGCTTTCATTAATAATCGGACAGAGTCAAGGCTGCAGGACTTTGGTGCTGAAGACACTCTGACTTCATCCACAGAGTGCCGTAAGAGTGAGACAGGTTGAAAACGGCACAGAATGTTCCCGCTGTACTCTTGCCTTCGCACCTAGCAGTAGCAGCTGCGCCCTTACGATAGTACGCTTACGAATGACAACGACGAAGATTACAATTGTGAGGCAGCGTGGTGGAATCAGGCTCTCGTCAAAATAATCAAAGTGAAGAAACTTGCATTTTTCCGCAGGTTTGCGAATTTTTATCAAATTTTTGTTTTTCGGCTCAACACCTTTCATGCCCATTAAAGAACTAATTTCTGTGTGGATTTTTTTGAAAAACGTTGATTAAAAGCACAAAAAATGTAAAATTTCTGTTACCATCGACACTTTAGCTAAGGAAATAACTTATCTTTGGCAGCCATTTTCTCACTAATTTTACCTCTGAAAACAGGTAACCTCACCTCCTTCATTCGCAAATATCTCGACTTGTATTCAAGATAAATGGATATTTTTTTCATCCAAATAAAGACAAGTGAACAAGCTAAAAGAAGATACCAATAACTCTACATGCCCAAAAATTGACGAGAGCTTGATTCCACCACGCTGCCTCACAATTTATCCAGCAAAAATCGAAAAGAAAGCACAGCGTAGTTATACAGTTAGAAACAAATTTATTACAAAACGAAGGAAAAAAATACCTAAAAAATTATTATTTAAAAAACCCAAACAGACATGTAATTCCAGGGTTACTTTGTTCAATCATATTTCTCCTATGAAATTCCATACGTTGCATTCAGCACTGCCAAATTTAAAATAAATTACAGTTATCGACCTCTAAGGAAATATCTAGGCACAGTGGTATGTGCATGTAGATTTGTAGATGCATGATAAAGGAATAAAAGAATATGATACACAATATTAGGTCACACACAATACAATCATCACCATGTACTGGAGAGAGATGGAGAGATAGAGAGAGTGAGGAATAGAGGGAGAGAGAGAGAGACAAAGAGAGAGTGAGGAAGAGAGAGAGAGAGACAAAGAGAGAGTGAGGAAGAGAGAGAGAGAGAGAGAGAGAGAGAG